TCCACTAAAAGGAGGAGCCGTGATACCTCTGAGTCTGTATTTGCAGCATGCTGAATATGCAAATGTGCCTTTGTTGAAACTGAGGACTGTGCGCTCAAGCTCTCAGACTAAGCAACCAGGCAAACATAACTCAGCATGTACGCACTCACAGACACACATGCAAATGGTTCTGTGGTGACAAGACACAGGAACTGAATTCCCACTATGCTGTGTTTCTAATTTGTTGATTATGATGGCTAAATCCTCCTAGATCCTGCTCCAGCTATGTGACAGGCCGCTGATTTCACCAATGTGATAAGCATCGAGACTGGCCATGTGTTCACGATCACTGCTCTCATCTCCCACCAAACAACAACAAAACACTAAAAACACAATTATATTCCTCAGGTATTCCGCTTCTTTGAACAATATCCTTTGTGCAATTACACATTTCAACTCTTATTTTGAGTCTAAGAAATCAAAATTAAACACTTAGAGTTTGCTTCTATAGGACAGAGGCAGTTTATCACATTCAAACACTGACTGCCTCAGTTATTTATTATGCTGCATAATATTTTCTTTGTACATCAAAATGACCTGTATGGAATTATCACTACATGTCGGTTGTGTTTTTTTTAATATCAGCTACATGTGGTTGTGTTGCTTTGACAAGTACGGCCTCTGAGGTGTAGCTCTCCACAGTAGATATCCAGTATTAGGGAGATAAATACCACAGTTGGCTCTCCAAAGAGTTGCAGAGATTTATGGATTGCTTCTCTGCAGCAGGCTTCTGGAGGCTAATATTCTATCAAATTTTTCAAATATTTTGGTAGTGTGCAACGCACACACACAAATACAGACTCCAGCCATGCTTGTAAGGCTGAGCTGCAGCAGCTACTTTTATCGTTATAATGTAAGAAATGTTGCATTGCAGAGGTCAGAACATAATTTATAGAGGAAAAAAAACTGAGGAGAAAAAGGGTGCAGTGTGTATATGTCTGTGGATTGAGGGGGGCATGGAAGCAACAGATGTAACAGCCAAGGGTGTTGCACCATCCTTTTTAAACCTCCCACTGAACAATGTCCTCCACCACCACATGCTCAGAAAGATAAACAGGGCTGTAAAGAACATGGGAAAATCAATCATATCAGTCCAACACTGTCAAAGATTTCATTTCACCTTCTGGCACAATCCGCATCAATTACCACTGAGTGTTTGGGAACAAAATTTAAAAGAGGGCTGGGCTTTCTTTTGTTCATTTTAGTGGAAAGTGGTCTGCTGAGAGATGCCCCCGCAGTTGGAGAAGGTCACTTAGTGGGAAGGGCCATGACGGATAAATCTGATCCGTTGTAGAGGCAGTATTGATCCAGCAAAAGCTCACTATATGAATCAGGCATGGGCTTCGTGCTGTTAGTTTCCTCACTCTGTGTGATGGATGTGCAATGCAAACATGCTCTCACATGTAGCCCAAACTGGACAAGCTGGTCATTAAACTCAATCAGACTGAGGCCTGCTGGTACTATGCTAGGAGTTTCATGGGCCCTGAATGTGGGGGTTAAGTATAGAGAGGAAGAGGTGTTACTAATGGCCCTATTAACCGTAACCACCATAACCACGTAACTCACAGGAAACCTGTGACTTTACTGTAAACTGATCAAAGTACAACAATACTTCCTGTTATAATCTAATCTGAATTTCCAGTTCTCAAAATTATCATTAAGGTTAGACTCACTCCTTAAGCTGTCAGCCTCTAAAACCTGCATGAAAAGCTGCCTTATGTACAGTAGCTGCTGGGCCACCTCTGCACATCAATTAGTTTTGACTGTTTTCAGTGGTGAGGCTTTTTGTCCCATGATTCGCTAAAGCCTATTTCACAGAAATTTCAAGTCCATAAAGGAAACTATACTTATTATCCCTGTTAATGAAAATCTACAAATACAGTAACAGTGATTTATATTGGTTTTCATAAAGCTATATAGGCTTGAACTCCAGTCGTCTCATTTCAAACATGTACTACGTAGTGGGGAAAAAGCAGCCATGCTCCAATTCTGCCTATGTCTCCTCTCTGCTAATTGCTATGCCAGTCAGTGATGAGTCATTTATGGTTCACCCCTGTCCTTGGCAACAGCTAGTTTCTCTGGTCTTCTCGCATCTTTCTCTCTTATTGATATTTCTAGAGCGGTCAGATGAACCATCATCCACGTCTGGTTTGTCTCTTATGCTATTTCACAGGGACAACCTGTTTTGGTCCTTCTAGATTGAACAGACTGCTGAGCACAGGGTGTTTACAACACACACAAAGAGATAGACCCACACACACACACACACACACACACACACACACACACACACACACACATCTCCAGAGGATAGGATCTCAGAGAAGCAACACAGCCTATTTCACTGCAAATTAGGTTAATCACGCTCCAGAGAGGCCTAGTTAATAACCCTCATAGAGCCTATTAACATGGCACCTAAATCACAGGAATATCTGAATATCTGATGGCCCTTTACACAGTAATGCCACATTCAGCCATGGAGGTCTTGGTGGAGCTGGCTGTGAGGACAGAGCTTGGTCATACACACTACGCAGCTCTAGACTGATTATATCACACAAGAGCAATTGTTTTTCAATGGAGAAAACTCCTCAGTGCAGAGTATAATCTGTTGTGAACCCTGGTTCATTAAGCCAGTGATATTAATCAGAATTAGACTGTGAGTCGAGTCAGGCACAAAACCATTTTCCTTTTTACACGGGATAATACACAGAATACCAAGCATATAATCACCAGAAATATCAATATGATGGAATTACAGAGCTCGTATAGCTCAAGATTAATCAAAACCACCTTCTCTTTCTCTCCTATTTTATTCAAATATATCAAACTTATTTAGGCCAGAAAAAATGTGAAGGAACAGTAACCTGCCCTTAACATTCTTGTCATAGGCAAATGGAAGCAAACAAATGAAGCCCCCTGAAAGGCAGCCAGTGTCTCTTCCAGTAAGCTTTTGCAGCCCCAGTGTGTCGGGGCCTGATAGCATCTCCACTGCCTCAGCAATATGAGAGTTCACCATGGGGAACCTCAAACTGTGTGACGCCCATGAAAGACTGAACCTGGAGATGCCAGCTAAGGAGAGATGATCCCCTGCTGGTTAACCCTCAAGTGAGACACTCTCCAGTTTGAGCTTGTTATATTTTTGAACCACTGCACCCAGATCAGTTAATTTTCTTCTTTGAGATACATACGTATGTTTGAAACTTGAGAAACCCATGACTTTTACTAAAAATGTCACATTTGCTATTTTATTCCCATTTACAGGACAGGGTGGCGCGCACCTCCCTGTTAGCACATTTTTTTCTGTATCCTGAGCAATAGGTTGCACAATAGGGAGTGTTTAACTACACACATTATTCACATCAATGAACAATTTAATGATAGTAGTGATTCAAAAACAGGATTTTGCTTCATTTTTGACCCATAATGCTCCAAAGGTTTTAAACAAGCAACTGTGTTCCAAAAAACTACTTATTTAAACTGAAATACAATTGGTACTAAAACTATAAGTTGATTGATTAACAAGTTAACTGACAGAAAAACTAAGCAGCCACAATGCTGACCACTGATTAAAGTAATTTATCATGCAGAACCTTCATTGATTTCAGGCTCACAAATGTGAAGATCTGCACCTTTTCTTTTTATATTACTGCAAATAGAATATCTTTTGGGCTGGAATGTGACAGAAGACTGATGCTTAATTATCACCCAGCCCTAGTCCACAGGATGTCTTAATGAGACAGACTGCCCAGAATAATTGAATAGTAACTACAGCGGCCACCTTCACAAGCCTTGGTTTTATCCTTCCATCAAGCCTTCTCTCTCCTGTTCTGCTAAAGTCGGTGCTGTTGCCTTTACGCCCACATATGTAGTTTCTGTAGGTGGTCGGCTCTTTGTCTGTTCCAACAGGTACAGCATCTTTCTCTGCACAGGTTCACTGCTCATTTCTTGTTGTTGTTGTTGTTTTTTTTTTAAAAAGTTAAACTAAACCCATGGAGAGCAAGGATTTATCCCAGTAAAGATATCATCAAGTATAAATGACAATAACAAACAATACAAGCTTTTAGCCTGTGATCGAATATGGTGAGTTACTATGAATAAGCAACTTCAGTCCAGACAGCTGTTACCATTCATCCCACATCTTTGACATTCCATAGCTTGTCAGCAAGTAACAGGGAAATTCTTGAAGATGGAAATTGGTTTCTTTGTACCTGTGACCGATCCAGCAACATCAAGTAATATGTCTATGGCATATTTTGCCATTAGTCTGGGAGGTAAGCCATTAAGATGTACGTGTCTGTTAAGCATAATAAATGTACAACAGCAAATGCGCAGGAATGATTGCTACTGGTGGGAATGAGCTCTAGCAAGTGGCAAAAGAATCGTCTGACAAAATGACATTACCTCTAAAGCTATTTTATGCCATATGAATAAGCTGACGTGTAGCTTTTCCTAAGTTAGGAAACTGCTCTCCATAGTGCTTCAGCCATCACCCCGTCTATATACGCGTGTGTTTGTGGACATGTGTCTTGAACACGCGGTCGTGTGTTTATGTGTATGTGTGCTGCTTGCTCTGTACTGTTGGCGACCCCCAGCGTGCAAGACGCGAAATTTTGGATCATTTTCTTCCCCTAAACATCACAAAACATATAAAGCCTCCGCCTTAATATTCCCCAGTGTCAAAAGTACAACGGAAAATAGTCTTTGTATTTAAAGTAGGCTACTCTGTTACAACGGCTCCTATGTTTTGGGGGGTTTATCCAGACCGACCTATTGATAAATGTAGCCCAGTCTTCTATTCCAGCAGACTCTCATAACTTGCGGTGACGTAGATTAAAAACGGAGACAACATGTTGTCGACTGTGAAACAACATAAAACAACATCTACACTTTTCGGGCCCCTTCAACCTGCAAGCATTTCCTCATTTTGCTCATGAAATAGTCTAAAATTATTCGTGTCTTACCTGCGCGCAACGCTCCGTTTTATCCACATTTTTATCGACCGCCGAATCCTACTCAGTCCTCCAGGTATCCTCCCATTTAGATGGGTTTCGACAGTAGCTGACAGCAATACTCAAGTGACGGACCTTACTCCAGCTGTCATGAACGCAAACATTATTTAAGCCATATCCTTCAACGTTGCGCACATCAAATTCCTCCAATGCCGCTTCCAAATTCCACAAAAGAATAACGGGGCAATACTCGGGTATTTATGAAGTTGCTGGTCAGTTGTTCTGTTGACGATAATCTTCCTTATTATTAGTTAAAAGGAGAAGGGAACGCGCGTGCAGGCGGACAGGTGAGCGGGAAACCATAAGAGGTACCCTCAAACTTTGCCCTCGCGCAAATCTTTCATTTCTCCCCTCCTGGAAAATCAAAGCTGTAAGATGCGGAGACCAAAAACAAGAGTTTGCATCCTCTTCGCTGAGATGACAGCGCAGCTTCTCCTACATTGTTAAAAGATAAACGGCCAAAAGAACGGAGATGGAGGTGAGGACGTTCGGTTCTCTGAAGCACGGGGGAGTCAAGTCACCGTTGACAGGAGGTTCTCGTTATCTACTCACATCTCTAGAGGTGTTGAGGGCACGGCTGGGTTGGGTAAACAAAAAAATAAAATAAAAATAAATAGGTGCAACTGAAAAAGGAAGAGGGGAAGCAACGAAGGACAATCCTGGAGGATAAGAGTTGTTTCAAAGGAGTTGGAGAGAGGGGTGATGAGAGCATTAGAAAGGAGACGAGGCTGGTCCGTCTCCTGCTGCTCCTCTTCTCAGACTGACGAACGACCTGCCTGCTAAGCCCCACGCTGCCGTGACGTCATTTTAAAGCTAAACATGTCATGTGCTGGAGTTTTTCACGTCATATGGGTGCACACCGAGTGTCAGAATGGCCATGACAAGAGGCAGCTGTCCAGTACGGTACAGAACTGTACGGTAGTGTGGGACCGAGGCAAGGGCACATGAGCGTTGAGTGATAATTGCATGGGAATTTGTTGGAAATAAATCAGCAACACGTAGAGGATTGTGCCAGATGCACACAGTCACATTATATGGCAAATAGAACCTGCTGATAGAGCCACTGTGTCAAATAATATATGATGTAACGTTTGGTTTAGACATTCAAGGCTCCTGACAATTTGGCCTTCTTTTAGTCAAATATAGATTTGCTTAATTTATAATAACCTTTGTTGAAAATGTCCCAGCAGTCCTAAAAATGTAAGTGGAAACAGTTTTATTATTGTTGTAATTATTAATATTTTGTTTCTGGCAAATAATACCAATGGCACTAACAGCTCACACAAAAAAACTGGCAACAAAGCCTTTAAAATGAGCTGCCAATTAAAAAAAAAACACTGGAAATGATCAGAATAAAAATTAGCTAAAAATACAAGCTCAATTCAAGCCACAGTGAGTTGAATTTTAAGTAATTAAATTGTGTTTTAAGTGATTCCCATTACATATTTTTGTTTCTAAAACATTTAGTCAATCCCAGTGAAAACTAGTGCCGGCTGGTGTTTTAAGATCATATATTTTATGCCCTTGTTGCAAATGTTAATACCTCCAACCTAGTCAGATTACCATTGTGACGTCTCTGTAGAAGTGAGGAGTGTATTCATTCAGACAAGAAGTCACCGTGTTAAGATGCCGTCTGAGGTGTGTCTATTTCTTTGTCCTCCCGGCTACATAATGAGAAGGTCAGAATATTAGGAACACCTCTGAATACAGTCCAGTACAACACCGCCTTTAATTATGACTTCAAAAATAAATATAGTATTAAATGTATACATTTAATACTATATGGCCAGTGAGTGTACACTGTGATATACAGTATATATACTGTAGATGTGCAGTGTTAGCCATCAGGACCCATCACATCACCCTGAGCTTCAGAGTAGTAATAACTCCCCTACTTAACTGCATTTTCTCATATTATTTACCAGCTGTATGCTAAAGTGAAAAGTACTCTCTAATGGGGTGGGGGTGCTTATATCTACTATCTTTCTCGTAAGACATGAATACTGTATTAAACTATCATTCTGGGGACTATGTGCACAGAGTGAGAATGTGGCGGCCCCTCTTTTACACCTCAGAGTCATACCAGAAACATTACAGTTGTGCTAGCTGGATTTGGATTTGTACACATGGATGTGTACAAATTATCAGCATGCACTAGAAAGAGCTATACTGTGTTACGAGCCTGAAAAATGACCTTCCCTTTGCCTAAGGTGTGGTTCTGTGTTGTAGCTGTGTCAGGCTTTAGCTCACACTCTTCAGGATTGCTTTGATTGGTGTGCAGTTGCAGTCGCTCTTCTCCCAATCAGACAAACTGCAGCTGTTTAGAAAAATGACTGCTCTATACACGATGAGGCAACTTTCCTTCCCCGCTAATTGTTGCCATGAAGGGCACTTCTGTCAAATACCATCATTACTGCATTACTGTGTATACATACATACGGATCCAAGTGGATACCTCTGTCTCCATCAGTAGCTCCCCAGCAGATGGAAGCTGTCGCTCTCTCTCTGTCACTTCCTCTATCTCTTCCATTTTCATTCACACTCCTTCTCCCACATTCACTGTTTTGCATGTTGTCTTCCCATGTTGCATTTTTATGTAGGTATTCATATTCACACATTTGTTTCTGTTGGTTCATGCAAGATACAAAAGTGTGATACAGTGTGAACAGACTTATTTTACCTCAGAGATAGTCACAGGTTGTCATGCATGTCTAAGACTGCAGGAAGCTTCAGCTCACATGGACCTCAACGCAGCATACTAAACATCTGTTGTGTAAGCCATTAACACCCCACCACGAGACTGCGAATTAAAGGGAAGAGGGATTTGAGTGTATCAGATAAACTGGATTGAGTCACTCTCAGCAGCAGTTGTGGGTGCAGTTTAAGTGCAGGCTGAAATGAATGTAGCAGAGGGACTTTATGGCTGTGGTCTGTGGTGGCTTCACTGGAATCTCACTGGGCAAGAGTTCAGTCTACTGTATTCAGTACAAAGGTTGTCATGAAATAGCATTCCTTTGAAAACCACATATCTTACCCTGAAAAGCAGTAGAAAGTGCTTGTTGTAGAAATCAGATTTTAATCTGGATGAAATCTGAAGCACAAAATTCAAAGAGCTTTAAACAACAGGTTTGTGCAATACAGCATATCTCAGTGTTCATTTTCTTAATAATAATAATAATAATAATATAATAATACTATATCAATAAGAACTTTATTTTATTTATTTATACAAGAGGGCATACTTTATTTAGTATCATTTAGCAAAAGTGACAGATTAGCCAAAAGAACTGAACTGAAATCTAAAGCCCCTAGACAGAGATGGCAAAGATACACGCAGTTATTACTCAAGTAGAAGTGGGTACGGAAAGTATTCAGACCCCCTTAAATTTTTCGCTCTTTGTTATATTGCAGCCATATGCTAAAATCATTTAAGTTCATTTTTTTCCTCATTAATGTACACACAGCACCCCATATTGACAGAAAAACACAGAATGTTTGACATTATTGCAGATTTATTAAAAAAGAAAAACTGAAATATCACATGGTCATAAGTATTCAGACCCTTTGCTGTGACACTCATATATTTAACTTAGGCTCTGTCCATTTCATCTGATCATCCCTGAGATGGTTCTACACCTTCATTTGAGTCCAGCGGTGTTTGATTATACTGATTGGACGTGATTAGGAAAGCCACACACCTGTCTATACAGGTATGTGCCAAAAAATTAGAATATCAAGGAAAAGTCCATTTATTTCAATAATTTGTTTCAAAAAGTGAAACTTGTATGTTATATTAGTTC